TTCAGCTAATGGCAGCCTGATAAATATAACTTAAATCTATATGTATGTACTACACTACACAACTCAGGATTATTTTTTATATTAGTCATGACTTTTAGTTAACAGCCAATATTTTAGCATTCTAAATATTTTTTAAAATGCTTCCTACCTCCAAACTATTCATCTACTATTCTTCTCCTAACCTCTTCACGGCTGTAGAAAATGAAATTAAGAACTTTAAATTTAATAAATAATATAATGCCCCTAGTCAAACTGTATTTCTGTTTTCCTAAGACAAATAAAAATGTTAATGGATCGACAAAATAAGCATATGGACAAGACCTGCAGGAGGTTTTTCTGCAGAAAGAATGTTTCAAATCACTAATAATAAAAGAAATGCAAATCAAAGAGACCCTAAGGATCCCCCTCATCACTAGGAAGTTCATAAAGATGACAAAAACTGGCAATAGTAAGTGCTGGAGGTATTATGTAATGATAGGCACTCTAATACACTGTTGGTGAAACAGTGAAATAGTACAACCATTTTGGAAAGAAATTTGGAATCATGTAAATAAAGTGACTAAAATGCCTATACTCTGAACCAGTGACTCCATTACTGAGTCTATGCCCCAAGGAAGACATCAAGAAGAAGAAAGTCCTATATACTCCAAAATATTTAAAGTAGCACTTTCTGTGATAGCTAAGAATTAGAAGCAAAGTAGATGCCCATCAACTGAAGTATGCCTAAACAAATAATGGCATGAGTATAATGGAATATTCCTGTGCTGTAAGAAATTATGTATTTGATTAATACAAAGAAACACAGATGTATATGAATTGATGCAGATTGAAGTAAATTAAGCCAAGAAAACAATGTACACACTATCAATCAATTAATAAACTATTACTATGAAGCATGCACTATGTGCCAGTCACTATGCTAAACTCTAAGAATATAAAGAGAGGTAAAAGCCAATGCCTGCCTTCAGGTTGCTGAGTGTCTAACATGGGAGACAACATGTAAACAAATATGTACAAAACAATTTATATTCAAGATAAATATTATTGTTGTTGTTGAGTCATTCAATTGTGTCTGAATCTTCATGACCCCCTGGACCATAGCACACCAGGCCCTTCTATCTTTTACTCTCTCTCTCAAAGTTTGTCCAGCTTCATGTTCATTGTTTCCTGACACTAGTTATCCATTTCATCTACTGTTGTCCCCTTTTCCTTTTGCCTTCAATCTTTCCCAATATCAGGGTCTTTTTCAAGGAGTCCTGTCTTCTCATTATGTGGCCAAAGTACTTAAGCTTTGGCTTCAGTATTTGACCTTCCAGTGAACAGCTTGAATTGCTTTCTTGAAGTATTCACTGATTTAGCCTCCTTGCTGTCCAAGGAACTCTCAAAAGTCTTGCTCAGTACCACAATTTGAAGGTGTTGATTCTGTGGTACCTAGCTTTCTTTATAGTCCAACTCTCACAACCATATATTGTTACTGGAAAAACCATAGCTTTGACTATATGAACCTTTGTTAGCAAGGTGATGTCTCTGCTTTTTTTAAGTATGCTATCCAGATTTGCCACAGCTTTCCTTCCAAGGAGCAAGCATCTTTTAATTCCCTGGCTGCAGTCATCTTTGAGCTGCAGTGATTTTTGAGCTCAAGAACACATAATCTGACACTACTTCCATTCTCCCTGGGAAGATAGGATCAGTTGACAAGATCTTTGGTTTTTTGATGGTAAGCTTCAAGCCAGCTTTTATTTCACCCTCATCGAGAGGTTTCTTAATTACTCTTCAATTTCTGCCATCAGAGTGGTATCATCTGCATATCTGAGATTGTTGATATTTCTCCTGGCAACCTTAATGCTGGCTTTTGATTCATTCAGCCTGTCATTTCACATGATGTAATTTGCATGTAAGTTAAATAAATAAGGTGACAATAAATAGCCCAGTTGTACTCCTTTTCCAAGCTAAACCAGTCAACTGTTCCACGTTCAGTTCTGTTGCTTCTTGGCAACAGCTTCCTCAGGAGACAAGGAAGATGATCTGGTACTCCTGTCTCTGAGGACTTGCCACATTTTGTTGTGTCCCACAGAGTCAAAAGCTTTAATGGAGTCATGAAGCAGAAGTAGATGTTTTTCTGGACCTCCTTTGTTTTCTCCATAATCCAGCTAACGCTAGCAAATTGGTCTCTAGTTCTTCTGCCTCTTCAAAAACCAGCCTGCTCTTGCGGTAATTCTTTGTTCACATATTGCTAAAGCCTAGCTTGCAGAATCTTAAGCATAACCTTGCTGGAGTGTGAAATGAACACAAATGTTCAGTAATCTGAACATTCCTTGGCATTGCCTTTCTTTAGGATTGGGACATAAACTGATCTTTTCCAAACCAGTGGCTACTGTTGAGTTTTCCAAATTTGCTGGCATACTGAATGTGCAGCACTTTAACAGCATCATCTTTTAGGATTGTAAATAGCTCAGCTGGAATCCAACACCTCCACTAGCCGTATTGTTAGCAATGCTTCGTAAGGCCCACTTGACCTCATTCTGTAAGATGTCTGACTAATCACAGTAACCACACGAAGGTAGTTATCAGTGATGCTATGATCTTTTTTGTATAGTTCTTTGTGAATTGTTGCCACCTCTTCTTAATCTCTTTTGCTTCTGTTAAGTTCCTACAATTTTTGTCTTTTATCATAACCATCTTTGCACAAAACATTCCCTTAATATCTCTAATTTTCTTGAAGAGATCTCTTGTTTTTCCCAAGCTATTGTTCTCTTCTATTTCTTTGTATTGCTCATTGAAGAAAACCTTACCTCTCCTTGCTATTCTCTGGAACTCAGCATTCAGCTGGGTGCATCTTTCCTTTACCTTTCACTATCTTTCTCTCCTCAGCTATTTGGAAAGCCTCATCAGACAGCCATTTTGTTTTCTTGCTCTCTTTTTCTTTGTAATATTTTTTGTTGCTGCCTCCTATACAATATTGTGAACCTCTGTCCACAGTCCTTTAGGCACTCAGTCTACCAGATCTAATCCCTTAAATCTGTTCATCACCTCCACTTTATATTCATAATAGATGCTATTTAGGTCATACCTATATGGGCTGATGGTTTTCCTTACTTTCTTCAATTTAAGTACGAATTTTGCAACAAGAAGCTCATGATCTGAGCCATAGTCAGCTCCAGGTCTTGTTTTACCTGATTGTATAGTAGAGCTTCTTCACCTTTGGCTGCAAAGTATAGAATCAATCTGCTATCTATATTGACCACCTGATGATGCCATGTGTAGTGTCACTTTTGGGTTTTTGAAAAAGAGTGTTTGCTATGACCAGTGACTTATCTTGACAAAATTCTATTACTTTCTTCCCTGCTTCATTTTATATTCCAAGGCCAAACTTGCCTGTTATTCCAATTATCTTTTGATTTCCTACTTTGGAATTCCAATCCCCAAAGATGAATGTGACATCTTTTTTTGGTGTTATTCCTAGAAGATGTTGTAAGTCTTCAAGAACTTCATAAGAACTTCATAGATGTTGTAAAACTTCATAGATCAATTCAGTCCCCTCGGCATCAGTGGGTGGAGTACAGACTTGTATTACCGTGACGCTGAATGGATATAAACAGATATCGTCCTGTCATTTTTGAGATTATACCCCAGTACTTCTTTTCTCACCCTTTTATTGACTATGAGGGCTATTCCATTTCTTCTACGTTATTTTTGCCCACAGTTAGTATATAGAGTGATCACCTGAATTAAATTCACTCATTCCTACCCATTTAAGTTCACTGACACCTAAAGTGTTGATGTTTAATCTTTCCATCTCCTGTTTGACCACATCCAGCTTACCTGGGTTCATAAATCTTGAATACACTAGAATTAAGAGGAGTTGAGAAGGCTTCCAGTAAAAGATGGGATTGTGATTGGTACTTAAAGAAAGAAAGGAAAGTCAGTAGTTGGAGCAGAGGAGGAAGACCAGGAATGAAGGAAAGCCAGAGAAAATACCCAGAGCAAAGCAATGGAGCATCTTTTTCCTAGAGCAGCCAGGAGGCCAGTGTCACTGGATCAAAGAGTATGTGATGGAGAATGAGGTGTGAGAACACTGGAAAGTTAGGAGGGAACTAGGTTATGAAAGCCTGTGAATGCTAAACAGAGCATTTTACATTTGATTCTGGAAATAATAGGGAGCTATTAGAGTTTGCTGAATAAGGGGTGACATAGTCAGACCTATACTTTAGGAAAAATCCCTTAAGTGGCTTCATGGATGGATTGGTATGAAGAGAGACTTTAGATAGGCAGATCCACCAAAAATAGTCCAGAGGTGAGGTAATGAAGGCCCATACTAGAATAATGGCAGTGTCAGATGAGAGAAGGGGGCATGTTTGAGTGCTTTTAAAAAGGTGACATCAAGAGGTCTTGGCAACAGATTAAGGTATTGGGAGTGATAGATGAGTAGTTGAGGATGACTTTTGGGCTGTGAGTGTGAGAAACTGGGAGGATGATGTTGACCTTAAGAGTAATAAAGAAGGTATGAGCAAGGGAAATTTTAGGGAGAAAGATAATGATTTCAGTTCTGGACATGGTAAGTTTAAGTTGTCTATTCAACATCCAGTTCAAAATGTTTGAAAGGCAGTGGGAGAAGACAAGAAATCAGAAGAGAGTTTGGAACAATTATAACAATGTAAATGGAAAGAACAACACCACACCAAAAAATCAAAAGTAAATGTAACAAAATTATAAAGATTACGCAGGGCTTCAATGAAGAGAAATGAGAAGACAACCCTAACCTACCCCTTTTTGGAGGTAAATGGTCTAATGGTGCTACACATTGCACATTTTTGAAGAATTTATCAATCAATTGTTCTGACTTTTTGTTCCTCTCTAAAAATATATATTATTTGTCACAAATTTCCCTGAGAGGGAAAAGGGGAGAGACAACTGGGATAACTATAGTGATGTAAGAAAGATGATAGCAATTTTTAAAAAGTAGGGAACCCAGTTTATAGGCCTACTTAAAGCTCACCAACCTTGTTGAAGACCCAGATTTCTCCATTCACTGTGGGCCTTGGTACACCATGCCCATTGTAGTGGAAGAGAACCCGTTCTTCCTTGGCATTTCGGCGCAAGGATGTGCAAAGCTTCTTGACTTCATCCACTGTCGGATCAAGACTTTGTTTATAGCGGGCCTGTTGCAGGAGAAGAAATTTTAAAGTTATAATGCATTCCAAACTACATATATTACTCTATAAAACTCAGGATTCCTTTTGATGTTGGTCATACCTTTCCCCAACTAGACACTAAATAAACAAGACTATCATTCCACCATTGTGTCATGCCACACTCTAGGCAAGAAGTGATGACATTATTCATATACATACTAAATATTTTTATACTTGAAGTAAAAATGACAAAAATTTGTAATTTCATTTTCTGGATTTTTCCCTTGCCTTTCTACAGATGGAAGTTAGAAAACATATTAGCATAGAATGCACCCAAATCCAGTTAAACACTGTAATAGTTACAGAGGTGAGAACAGATATTAAGAAGTATAGAAGACTTTGCAGAGAGAGCTTGCTACCTAAAACTCATGCTCCTTATGAGGAAATTCAGCACCTGTAATTATGCCAATTAGTATACTGACAAATTAACTCATAAAAGACAACCAACCATATAAGAAAAATGTTAGTGGTTTCAGACAAACCTTAGAAATACTGTATAAAATGAAACAGAATGAAGTGAGCAGAATAAGTGGAGCAATTTGTAAAGTATTATTATTATATAAAAATACAAAGACCAATAATTCCAGATAACCAATTATGACACCACTTCACTCTTGACAGACATAATGGATTCAGAGTGTAGAATGAAATATATATTTCTTGGATATGATCAATGTAGGAATTTGTTTTGCTTGACTATGTATTGTATATTTATGGGGTTTTCTTATATAATAGAAGGACAAGATAAAAAGAGAAAATCATTCTTTTTTCACAGGAAAATAATTAAAATTTTAAAATGTTTTAAAATGTTGCCTTAAATTTTAAATTATGTTAATAGTTAGAAGACAAACAACAATATTAATTACAAAATGGACTAACTCAGTTGAGTAGTGCAATGCATAAAGTGCTGGATTGGGAGTGAGAAAGACCTGAGTTTCAATTCTGCCTAAGACACATATTAGCTGTGTGACCAGTGAACAATTCACTTAACAGTTGTATGCCTCAGTTTCCTTCAGTGTAAAATAGGGATAATAAAGCCACCAACATCCCAGGAGGGTTGTGAGAAAGAATATGAAATAATATATGTAAAGGACTTTGAGACATTTAAAATGTTTTATAAATGTTATTATTTTTGTTGTTACTTCTTAAAAGGGCTGCAAACACTAAAAAGTACTCTGAAAATTGAAAAATATCATCACAATTGGAAAATAAGGATGTATTTTCCTCACTATAGGACTTTTTATTCTCAGTCAATAATTTCAATCCCACTAGGAAAAAAACATTCAAAATGCCTACTATGTATGAGGCACTGTTTTTTATAGAAGTGTTACATATCATAAGTTATACATCTGAGAGGAAACCAAAAGATGGTAGCAGTGTGGAAAAGTTGAAGAGAACACCAAAGTTTTGGTTAAAGGCACTGCATTCAAAAACAAGCTCTCCTATTTGTGATCTTGAACAAGACACTTTAACTTTCCTAGGTCTTATTTTTCTCATTTATAAAAATGAGTTTTATACTGGACTTGTAGGTCCACTAAATCCCAGCTCTAAATCTATGATCTTATGATCTTATCTTGACATGACTAAGACAGAATTTACAGCCTCAAGAAGTATATTTATATCCGGTAGTAATCTTGGTAGTAATTATAACATGAAAGGATATAAATGCTTTAACAGCAATAGAAACAAAGTGCGGGGGTGGGGATGGGGGGTAAAAGAGGGGAAAGAATCATGTCCAATTGTGCCACAATCACATCTGACATTAGAAGAGCTTTTTTAAAACCATGGAATAAGTTAGGACTACCTAGAAAGTGTTGCATGTCAGAGATAGGATGCCAACTCTAATTGTATTACATTTTTTTTTAGATTCCTCCATAAACCAGAATCCAAAAGCTAAGGCATAAATCAGAAACATACAAGCTAAGTTCATTATCAAATTCACTTTTAGTTTTACCATTAAAATCCTATTTCAGCCAATTCCCACCACAAAAGTCCCACTAACAGCTCCCCTAGGCTTACAAGCTAGGTGTCATCTTGGACTCCTCACTATCTCTCATCCTTTCATATCCAATCTGTTGACTGTACCTTTGTAACATCTCTCAGATAAGCTCCCTTCTCTCCTTAGATACTGCTACCATCCCAGGGGCCGGCCCTCTTCACTTTATGCCTGAATTACTGCAAATAGGCTGGTGGTGAGTCTGCCTGCCTCAAATCTCTCCCCACTCCAATCCATCCTCCATTCACCCATTAAAGTGATTTTCCTAAAGCACAGGTGCAATCACGTCACTCCACCCCTTCACCCAATAAACTCCAGTAATTCCCTATCACCTCCATGATGCAAAATCTGTTGTTTGGTGTTCATAACTTAGCCCCTCACACTTTTCAATCTTCTTAAACTTGAATATCCCCTTCCCCTGCATACTCTTTGATCCAGTGACACCGACCTCCTTGCTATTCCTCTAACAATACACTCTAACTCTTGATGGTGGCCATTTTCACTGGCTATTACCCCTTGACCAGAATGCTCTCCTTCCTCATCTCTGCCTCCAGGCTTCCCTGGCTTCCTTCAAGTCCTAGCTAAAATCTCAGTTTCTGCAGGAAGCATTTCCTAATCTCTCTTAATTCTAGTGCCTTCCCTGTTAATTATTTCCAATTTATTCTGTAATTTGTTTATACATAGTTATTCACATTCTGTCTCTCCCATTAGATTTTTACCTCCTCAGGTGCAAGGATGCTCTTTGACATTTCACTGTATCTCCAATACATAGTCCAGTGCCCAGCACATAGTAAGTGCTTAATAAATGCTTACTGACTGACTGACAAATTTCATCCAGAGCAAGAAATGTCAAAAAAGTAAACACACTCAGACAAATCCATTACCATGGAAATCATGAACCAAAACTTGATGAGGTTCATACTGCTACATATTTGTATTGTAATGTACAAATAGAAGAAACTTCCTTTTACAGATGTTAATACATTTACACATAAATTAGATGTATATATGTACATACTATAAAAATCAATAAGCATTTATCAAATATTTACTATACGCTATACATTTTGCTAGGCACAAGAGATACAAAGACCAAAAAAAATTCCTTGCTCTCATTTCTGAGTGTTACTATATAAAGGTAGTAGGTGGCAGTAGACAAAGGCCTAGACATACCAAAAATGCAACCAGTTCCATCAAAATATCAAATTATTCTATATTACAAAATTAGTATTATCCATTCTTCTCAACTAATAGAACTACTTTAGGAAATTTAGCATTTTTCTTTCTTCTATCTCCTGTTGAATTCGCTGTTACTTGTGAACTCATTTCTTGGAGTTCCTCTTAGTGGCATTCTGACCATTCTAAGGTAGCCCATTCTACTTTGGGACATCTTTAATTGATAGGAAGTTTTTGCTTGTTTGTTTTTGTTTTTTAATTCCATGAGCCTGAATTTGTCTCTGTAAAACCCATCACTTCTAATATAGCCCTGTGGGGTCAGGCAAAATAAATTTAATTGTCTTTTTGTTTTTTCAAATATTTGACGACAGCTATCATGGAGTCTTTTCTTCTACATTCCAGACTAAAACATTCATGTTTCTTTTAAGTGATCCTCACCTGGCTTGAATTCTAGGCTCTTCAATATTCATTCTGATTGCCCTTCATTTAAATTTTTTTCAGCCTTTCAATGCCCTTCCTAACCTGCAGTGCCCAGAAGTAATAAATACTCCAGATAAAGCCTAAACAAAAGAGATTATCATGTCCCTTTTTCTCTCTTAATGCTAACTCATCTAAAACCCCACACCTTAATGCTGAATATGGGAAAGCATATTGGCTCTGGAATTAGAAAACCTGGTTCAAATCCTGCCTCTGATGTTTATTATATAATTTAGGGCATCCTATGCCTCAGTTTCCTCAGCAATAAATGAAAAATTGAACTAGATGGTTTCTGAGGTCCTTTCAAGGTCTAGACCTATAAATAAAATTTCACAGGAGTGTTACATATGCAAGTTATAGACCCACAAGAAAAGAGAAAAAAAAACAGCATTTTTACACGTAGCTTCTAACTCTCAATTTTCAGGTTCCAAACTGTTATGAGACTGGCTGTTTTTTTTTAAGCAACTCAAACTGTCTTCTGTGCATAGTTATATGTATATACAAACTACTAAGGGGGTAAATCTTAAAGCATTTTACTGTATGCCATATTTACGTGAGAAGTTTCCAAAAGTGGCATTATTACTGGAAGACATAGTAAGGGGAAAGAGTAAGACCTCTGTGACTTTGATCCATACTCTCACTAAATAACTCCCCCTCTCCCCAAAACACTTCATCATGGAGACAGAAACCTAAACTCATTTCACAGGTTTTGAGTCATGAACCATAAAAAGCACAAATATATTCAGCATAGTACCCATCTGGAAGTCCTTTTACCTGTCAAATTAAAAGGTATTTTTTTGAAGAAAAGCACAGAAACCAGGATCACATCTGTAAATCACAATTAAAAAAAATCAAAATAACAGAGACCAAATGACATCCTAATACCACAGATGATGTACTCTAAATTCTGAGAACTAGCTATGCTTGATATTGAAAAATGATATTTTTGAATCATGATAGAATTTTAAATCTGAATTATAAAACCCCATAAAGTATTTAGGACAGCTCTTTGAATTAGTTGTTTCCTAGTAGTGGTGAGAGATTAGCACAAATTAAATAGTAATCTAGCCACAACTCACTTTCTCTCTACTCCCATTAACTAACACCATACTCGCAAGGTGTCTGAACAAGGTTCAAGGTTAGAGGTCAATGGCCACAGAATACAGCAAAGCTAAACATGTGATTCAGATAATAAAATCATGCCTTTTTACAAAAACATATATTCACTATCCAAAACTCAGACTTGTACCAACCTTGGCTACCCAGAATAGTACCAAGGATGTAGCATGACACAGTAGACTTGGACTTGGAGTCAAAA